TGCCTCTCATTCACAAGACCACTTGTTGCCTACTTGTTGGAGAAGGGTCACCGTCGAGAATGTAAAGTCATAACTCAGACCTTTTTACTGGGAACTCAAATCTTCCTCATGCTTATGTTATCATTTTTTGGTTCTCCAGGCAGTTGTAATGATTGGTGCTTTCTATGTGAATTTGAAAATCATGTTGAAAGAACAATGCAAAGTTCACAGGTGTTTTCTCCTATGAATATTCTCTCTCGATTGCCTAATATTGGTGGTACTCTGGGCTATGGAAGACAAGAAGATGCTCATGAGTTTATGAGGTTTTTTTCCTTCTAACATTATCGTTTCACTTTTTATGGTGAAGTGTTCATTCTCTGTTTTGAATAATCTCTTTATATTATATTGTGTTTGGTAAACGTAGAAGGTAATTTTTCCAATGCTTTCTTTTTGTAGGTTTTCCATTGATACCATGCAATCAGTTTGCCTTGATGAGTTTGGCGGAGAAAAAACTGTCCCTCCTAACCTCCAGGAGACTACCCTTATTCAACACATATTTGGTGGCCGTCTACAATCTGAGGTTGGACATTTAATCAGATTGAAATAAGCTTTTCTTTTTACTTTTCTATTGTTTCATTACATGTATAATGCAAATAAAAATGTTACTGATTATGTTGGCTGGGATGAAGTGAAATTTGTTTTATTTTTTTTCATCTGTCTTTGAACTTTATTAGTTGTCTAACTTAAGAACTGGGAGTCCATAATTTCATCTATATTTAAGGTTTGACTTTTTAGAGTAATTTAATATCCTATTTGGTTTCTATTTTGAACTCCAAATGATTACTGATAAGGATGATATTTATTTTCAATTTCAATCTCTAGAAACAAGGGAGATCAAATTGCTTAACCAATTTTCTTATAGAAACATTTGGTTCCACAAAACTGTTTGCAAGTTCTGCTTTTTACAGAATTTATTTCAAAAGCAAAGAAAGAAAGACTAAACCAGACATGGATACTTAGATAGGACCCGAGAGTCTCTAGTTTGAAATGTTTCGTTCTCTATCATGAAATGGGCTGAGAGGGCGAATTTTGTTTCTCTTCCTTCAATTATCAATCTTTAGATTTTGACTTTATTATGCAATATGGAATCAATGGAAGAAACCTTTACAGTATTCGGGAATAAAGCCTTTATGTAATGTCAAAATAATGCATTTTTCTATTTTGATACTGACATGGATGTGGCGGTCTGTTTATTCTTTTTTCTTCTGAAACTAAATAGGTGGTTTGCACAAAATGTGAAAAGATTTCAAAACAGTATGAAAATATGATGGATTTAACAGTTGAGATTCATGGAGATGCTGCCTCCTTGGAGGAATGTCTAGATCAGTTTACTGCCAGGGAGCCACTTGATGGGGAAAATATGTATAAATGTGAGGGGTAAGGTTACTCTTCCTATTGAGATATACTTGTACCATGTACCATGCCAATGTTTAAACATTGCAAATATTTTCTTGCCATTGATCTCAGCATCATTAAAAATTAATATTAATTATAATAACTGTTTTTGTAGTTTGATGAATCGAATGTGGAGGAGGATAACGTGATGATTTTAGATTATGAATTGAAAGGGAAGTTAGATGTCCTTGGTCTGGGGAGAAAATTAAGTTCACAACGATGTTCTGTAGCAGTAAACCATGAACAATAACAATGTAATAAGTTAAAAAACTAAATTATTAACATTGTAATAACTTAACTAAATTATCTTCGAAACTGAATTCTAAATTTGGGCTTGCAACTATTGAAGGACTATAATATAGTCACTGTATTAGTTTCATCTACATAAATTTTACCACAGCCCTTAATTTTTATAACCAAGATGTCAGCTTGTACAACTTCTAGCCATCTATAAAAATTATGTAACTATGATAAAACCATTTTGTACCGACACCTGCCTCCTTACTTTTGATGCAAAATGATAATTATTATGTATTACTGAACAAATTACAAGCATTTATTGGATTCAATTATGGATGTTATTAAGTTCAAGTTATCTGTCTTCTTGGTTTAGCTTTTATAAAAGAATTTGGAAGGTGGTGATTATATGATGTCTCCTGTCAAATTACAAGCTTAAATTGATTTATGACGATGCTATGTAGTTTTATGGGTAGAGCAAAATTTGTTTTTCGTAAAAATCAACCATAAAATTATGTTTAGTTTAGCAGTTTCTTTTTGGTCTGATGATACCGGATTTCTCATTTAAGTTTGTTTCATGCTTAGTGGAGGCTGTTGATGTTACTTTTATTTTTTAAATTTTGATGCGTTTATTTGGATAACTGAGACTTACAATTTGGCAAAAAAATTATAAATAGGAAAAGTGTCAATGGTGGAAAGTAAGTTGCCAATTAAAATATAATTCAAATATGTGCTTTTGGTAATGTATTTTTTCTGTTAGGAATATCCTGTTGTTAAAGAAGTTTCCCGCTGCATGCAGGTGCAAGGATTATGTCAAGGCATGGAAACGCCTTACTGTGAAATGTGCTCCAAATATTCTTACTGTCGCCTTGAAAAGATTTCAGGTCTTACTAATATCATCTAGACTTACATACAGCCTACTAGTATACAGAAGCATGAAAGGCTTGAACTGTTAACTATTCTTATCAACTTTCTCATTTCTTTTTTTGGGGTGTTGTGTACATGCAGAGTGGGAGGTTTGGGAAACTTAACAAGAGAATAGCCTTCCCTGAGACTTTAAATCTTAGCCCTTATATGAGTGAAGCTGGAGATGGATCTGATGTTTATAAGTTGTACGGTGTTGTGGTACATATTGATATGCTAAATGCTTCATTTTTCGGTCATTACATCTGCTACATCAAGGACTTCCTGGGGAACTGGTATAGGATTGATGACTGGAAGGTAGATTTCTTTGTCTCCTAGTCCAAGTTTGAATATTTTTCTTTTTGGACTCCGAGTACCCTGTCTAATGTGCTTGAACTGCCAGTCTTTCAGTATCTTCATTTGTGTTCCATTAAATTTCTCAGGTTACGACTGTGGAGTTGGAAGACGTACTTTCTGAGGGAGCATATATGCTTTTGTATAGCAGGTATTCTTGTGATTCTGATAAAGGCTAATGCTCTCTTTGCTTCTCTGTCACGCACGCACCAATAATTTCAGAGTATTCGTGGTTTGTATTTTCACTTCTTCTGAACGATACTTCTTTACCAAATAGCTGGCTTTTCTTTACATTGTATCAAGTTGAGCCTGTGAGTACAAATTTAGGTGATTTTTGATGGCTGATATGGGCCGTATTTGGCTCAACTTGGTAACTATCGGTTAATTTGGTCCCTGGCTCTAAGTTGCATTATAAATCTAGTCCATGCCATCTTGGACCAAATTTACTGGTGGTTTCCTAATCCATTTAATTGATTAGATAATGTTAGCCACAATCTTTAATGATGCATTTTCATGAAACTAATTGATAGACAGATGTTTAAGTTAGGGATTTAGTTCCGGTGTTTACTTCTTTGTCAAGCTTCATCTTTGGTTGTGCTCTGTCATTGCCCTTTTTAATGATAATATTTTTTAGCTTCTCTCTTGAAAAAGTGGTTTAGTGATTTTCGATTTGATCCTGGACAGGTGTAGTGCCCGGCCATCAGGCCTTCAAATTCAAACTAGCGAATCTTCAGGGATAGCAGAAGTTCAAACAACAGAAGTGGAAGTGGAGCCTGGACAAACTCAACAAGATGGCTGCCTCCTTTCGAAAATAAAAACTTTAACTTGTAGTAGAGGTTCTGAGGTTTTGCCATCTGATAATAGTCCAGAATCGAAAGTTTCTTCCACCTATGATTGCGAGTCTTCTGCTGGATTGAACTCAGAAGCGAAAAGAGAGCAGTTTGAGGATACGGGCATGATTAATGTTGATTCAACTGGTATTGCAAATGAAATTTCTTGCAGTGCTGTTGAATCAACATCTGTGCCTATTTCTCAAGCCGTCAACGATTTGGGGGATGTAGATATAACGGACAGATCATTTGAAGGGACTTCAGACGAGCAAGATAATACTGATATGGTTAGGTCGTCTGGTTCTTGTCCTGGTTCACCGAATGACCCTTCCTTCTTCGGTAAGCATTCTTCCGTTTCAAGGGATCATCGAAACGTGGAAGATTTAGAACACAAGGCTGTGGTTAAAGACAAGTTGATTACAGCTAAAGATAATACGTATTATGGTAATGGATATGTCAGTGCAAACGAGTCTTCTATTCCAGTTGAAGACGCGGGCAAACAAATTTCTGGCATCGGTTTTTCCCACTGAAATGACAAAGGAAATGGAAATATCAGCTGACCTCGTGGTGCAGCTTTTTTTGTTATTTCTTCTTATCATTTAATTATCCCATCATCGAAAAAGGTGGTGAGTTGGGAAATTTTTGTCCGGGGTTTCATTATTTGCAATAACCTTGGATCTTATTTGTAACAGTTCTAGATGGATTTCCTGATCTATTTTTTCTTATAGAATATAATCCCTTTGTCCTTATCTCTCCCCTTTGTACAAGAAACACAATTCTCCTAGTTGCCTTGAACTTCTACTGTTGACTTTCTTTGGTTTAATTATTTAGAAAGCCATTTTTTTTAAATATCTATAAAATTTTTATCCAATTTTGTTGAATTAATTAATTACACTTAAATTATATTATTCTTAATTGGTGATACAGATTTAAATCGAGCATTATGAAATGGCATCCGTGAAAATTTCCAGCTTCCTCAAAAAAATAAAAACACTATCATGTTTAAAGTTACATTTAAGAATATCTTTTTCAATTGAGAAATGTTTTGTACATAAATTTATACAATAACATCTTTGTGTCTGTTTCTCTAATTGTAAGTGATTACATGCAGTAATGAAAGAAAGAGATTATATTGCAATATTCCATTTTGAAATTGATTTGCATCTGATACAGAAACTCTGGGCCCTTAGTCGTGCATCCATTGTCTTGTTGAAACCCATGAACTAGTTTTGTTCAGGTAAATTGTAGGAAGATTGAATGGAGAGAAAGTTGAATAGAGGCATTTTCTACTTTTTTCGGTAAAGGCTAATTTAAGAAAATGAGGTTGTATGATGCGTGGATTAAGACCTTAGCGGCTTTTGGTTGTGCGAGCATCTGGTAGAGGTGAAAGCATACGAGGAGCAGAAAAGAAAAAGATCAGAATTAACTGCTTTTGCTTTTCAACATTTGGCCTTCCCACACTAATCTAACCCTTTGGTTTGTTGTAATAAAAAATACTTGTCTTATGGATGGGGCTTGAGCATTGACTTGTAGAAATCAACAAAGCAAACCAAAAGAAGACAAAGATTCTTCAACGAGGAGCCAAAAGGGAGGAAGAATAGATGGTTGCTTCTTGCTTTTGCTGTAGGAAGGTCAGCCGAAAACCGCACGAGTTCCAGACAAAACCCAACCCTTCTTCCCTTTGACAAAATTGACATTGCCGATATCCACTTTGAAACAACTAAGTGGTCCTTTCTCTTTCTTTTATGCAAACCTAAAATGATTAAACTATTACCCAGCGGTTTTTTGTTTGCGTGCTGAGTGCACCCTTTTCTCTTTTTCAACCCGAATCCAAAGCATAGGTAGCTAGCCACCACAAGGCGCCACTATCAAAAGTCAACGAGTTATGCTCTTGTTATCTAATCCAACGGTACACGATTTATGTTTTTAAGAGTAAGAAGCCACACACGGGTGTGTGGTGTGGTGTGGCGTGTGCGTGTGCTTGTGCGTGTGCCTTCTCATCACATGATACTCTCTCAAGTGTCAACCATCCAATATCCAACCAAAAGAGTTCCACGGGAAGCTTCCTACCTCTCTTCCTACTTGTTGGCTTCGCTTTCCCTTTTACCCTTTTTCACTTTCTTCTGATTTCCTTCTCCAAACTCCTCTTTAAACACACAATACTGTCTTCTCCAACGCATTCACTCACTCACTCACTGTGTCTTGCTTATCCACTTTCAACATAGGAGCAACTGCCTCACTTCCGTTATCAGGTACTTGTCTACCTTTGATTACTTATGTTCTTCTCTCATCATTATTCCTGTGCTCTTTGATGCTTACTCACCACTTCTTCTAATGAAACCCCTTCTGTCTGGACTGACTCTTTCTACCATTTTCTTTTCTTGTACGTGGATTTCTGCTAATAGGGTTAGTCGGAAAGGGAAAAGAGGGAAATTGCTTTGGATTTTGAAGTCTCTGGTTTTATTTTTGCTTCTAAAGTATAGCTTGTGAGGTTTTTTTCTTTTTTTGAGTGGAGGGGGTGGACGGGTTTCAACTCATCAAAATTCAAGAACGAGTCTTGCAAATTCAGGGGGTGGACGGGTTTCAACTCATCAAAATTCAAGAACGAGTCTTGCAAATTCAGGGGTTGGGGAAAGATAGGGAAAGTTTTGATCTTTTTGGGTGCAGATAAACAACTTTTGGCGTTACCCATTTAAGTTGAAAGTCTTAATTCACATCAATTGGTGTTTATGATTGATAAAAGCTATTAAAGTGAAAAGATTGATTTTTTGATAACGTCTTAACACCTTTGTTGTTTCTGCAGTTGTTTTCTCCAAATTTTTGGCCAATGGAACACAGTTTGAAAAGAAAGTCTCCAGAAAATGAAGACTTTTTACACTTGAACGGCTTTTCTCTGGATGACCTTAACGAAGATCTCTTAGAGAGGGTGCTTTCATGGCTACCAACTTCCTCCTTCTTCCGCCTTACTTCTGTCTGCAAGAGATGGAAGTCAGCTGCTGCTTCTTTGAGTTTCAAGCTTGCCTGCTCACACATTCCCTCGAGAGATCCTTGGTTTCTGATGGTTTCTCCCAGCCTCAACCAATCCATTGTCTTTGACACTGCTGAAAACAGTTGGAAAAAACTCAATCACTTGCGTCTTCCGCTCGAAGACTCTAACATAAACTGCATGCCTGTTGCAGCATCTGGTGGCCTGGTTTGCTACCGCAAACTCTCAGGAAACTTTGTTGTATGCAATCCAGTAACCGGATCCTGTAGTGAACTCCCTCCATTGCATTTCCCCTCAGAAAATCAGCCTCTCAATGCCGTTGTGATGAGTACAACTTTCAGAGATCAAATCTCCTACAAGATTGTGTTAGTCTTCGGTGAACTCCCTAATCTTTTGTTCAAAGTCTATGACTCAAGCTCTTGCTGTTGGGAAGATGAGACTGCTCTTAGGAGGGAGGTTGATGACAATTCCATTGATTGTGATTCAACCGATGATGATGACAATGTTGTGTACTTCCTTAGTAAGGCTGGAACGGTGGTGGCAAGTAGCATGCAGAGGAGCCCATCTAAGCAATATTCCTCGGTCATTACCACCAAAGATGGTGAGGAAATGGTGTATTTCCTCAGCTCCTCAGGGACAGTAGTAGCTTGCAATTTGACATCCAAGTGCTTTTTTGAGTATCCGAGGTTGTTGCCTGTTTTCAGTGAGTACTCCATTGACATTGTGGAGTGTGGTGGTGAGATGCTGGTTGTTTTGTTATCAGAATTCTTGGAGAGCACAAGTCTTAGGGTGTGGAAATACGACGACACAAATAGATGCTGGCAACAGATTGCTGCAATGGCTGCAGCAATGTCTCAAGAATGGTATGGAAAGAAGGCAGATATTAACTGTGTTGGTGCTGGCCATCAGATACTTATATGCTTGAACTCTCCTGAGCTATGCACTTATGTTCTCTGTGATTTGGTGACCAACACATGGACAGAATTGCCGAAATGTTGCATGAATGGAGAAGTCATGGAGTTCATGTCTGCATTTTCATTTGAGCCCAGGATAGAAGCTTGTGTATGACTCCAAACTACCTCAGTTTGGTATCTTGATTTTGGTTATCAACTGGTTTTTGTTGTTCTTCTGTTAGCTTAAATTTTCTTCCACCTTGTACTTGAATTTGTCATGCAAAATAGCTAGGGTTGATTTGGTGTGAAAATAGATATGAAAGCTCTGACCAAATGATTGATTTCTAACTTAGACATTGTATTGTTCTCCATTGATTGTTAGATGTACAATGCTCAAATACTGAGTTTCCTCATGTTCCAAATAAGCTTGTTGTTTCCTTATGTTATGATTTCATCAATTAATTATTTTTTCTTCAGCATCCTTTTAGCCCTCAAAGATATATATGTAATTTGGTCAATGGAAGAAAGTTGAATTTAATTTAATTATTCATTTATGCATAATCATATGGTTTAAAATCATACTTTCTGATACCAAAACACTGTTAATGAAGCCGTTAAGCTTCCTATTTAGTTCAAAAGGACTTGTAACGTGTGTGCATGGCATTGTCTTCTTTCTTTCTTTGTGATTTTGTCTCAATACCCTTTGCTACTACAAGACAATGTTAGAGATACTATTACTTTTTGGTTCATATTTATTGGAGTTTGTTTTAATGTGAATGCGAGTTATTTCTACTGATTTATTTATTTATTTATTATCATCGACACATATGTTATTTTTCATCAATAATTTGTTAGGATATTTTTTTCTAATGTTAATAAAAAGAATTTCACTCAACATTAAATATAATTGTTTTCTACGAGTGTCAATTTCGAGAATTTTCCAGCCACATTGACTAAAAAGTCAGCAAAAATCCAAATTATCAATATTGTATGAAAGTAGTATTGATTGATGTCGGTCTAAATAATTGAGTCACTGTACGGAACAATTTCGGTTGACATCAATTCACAAACTTTTTTTGCAAATTCCAAATTGAAAATCTTGACCAAATATTATCAACCAATTGAAAAATATCATCAATATTTTTATTTTTGAATTATTAAAAGAAATATTTGATATTGAAATAATTTGTTGCATTTGATGGTAACTGAAATACTCTAATTAGAAATTAAAATTTATTTAATTTAAATTGTTTTATGTATGCAAAATATTTGAAAGAGAAATCAATTTGGAATTAGATCAATTAAAATTCAATAAATTTGAATGTGTTAAAAAATTCATACTTTTTAATCAACTAAATTTTGGTTGTGACATTGTGGACTTATTTAAGACTAAGACTTTGTTTGATTAACTATTTTGAATTATGTTTCTTGCATCTCACCTATTTCACCCTGCACCCTCAAATTTACATATATGTCCTTCATTTATTAAAGTCAAAACAGAATTAATAATGACTAAATGATGTCCTAACTACCAACCATCCTCTTAACCACCAACTTCTGTCTTGATTGTATAAATCCTAGTATGCATGCACCTCCTTTCTCTCTTGCAGTTTTTTCACTTGCATGAGACTAGCATTTTCAGTGTTTATTTTTTTTCTGGGTTGAGAGTTGAGAGGTTATAGAGTGTAGTGGTTGTGTTGCGTGTTAGTGGTGCTGTGGATATTGGACAAGAAGAAGGTGGTCATAGAAAGCTCGAAGAAGGTGATCACAGAAAGCTCTTGAATTGGTTTAATATTTAAACACCATAACCACACTTCGAACTGTGGTTCATTGGTGGCACACTTCAATCTGTGGTTTCACTGTGCATTTAAAAAACCTTAGCCACACTTCAAAGTGTGGTTCAGTGGTGGCGCACTTTGAGCTGCGGTTTTACTGTGCATCTTAAAAACCTTAACCACACTTCGAAGTGTGGTTCAATGGTGGTGCACTTCGAACTACGATTTTACTGTGCATCTTAAAAACCTTAACCACACTTCGAAGTGTGGTTCAATGGTTGTGCACTTCGAACTGCGATTCACTGTATTTTTACACTTTGAACTAGTTTATGGGTGCTCATTTCCGTTTATTGTGCATAGTTTTTTTAACCTCCCTATGTATTTGAGATGTTTTATGATTAATGGATGTTCTTTGCAGAGATTATTCAATCTCCCCATTTTGTACTAAATTCTGATGTTCTGTGCATAATTCTCCTTTTTGTTGTCCCTTGCTGCCAGTGTTATTGTGATAGAATGAATGGTTGTGGTGGGGAAATCTTTTACTTATAGAATTTGGATTTGCATTCATAATAAACTTTATCTGAGCCTCTCTAAACTAAGAGTGATATTTGAGGAGTATATGTTGATATGATTTCAAAGTTGAGAAGGCAGGAGGGGAGCAGGGGAGGAGCGCGAAAGAGTCCAAAAGGAGTGTAGGGTTTCAAAGTTGAGATACGGCAGAGGAAGGTTTCTCTTTGTAGTGAATGGGTCAACTTTTTACAAAATCAAAATATTTTCACTAACAGGGTACAGTTGAAATTAGAAAAGAATTAGGAGGTGCAGGGTGAAGTTGGTGAGATGCAGGGAGAACAACTCGACTATTTTTCATTAAGTCAATTACGATTAGGTTGATAGGAATTTTTTTCTTTAATTACGTTGTTATATAATTATTTTTGTTGTTGTTGTAGACCATTGTTATTTTTTACTCGATTTTTTTTCTTTAATTACATTGTTATATAATTATTTTTGTTGTTGTAGACCATTGTTATTTTTTACTCGAATTTTTTTAATGTTTGTGACGCTTTTTTACCATTACCATCAAAGCTATTCTTTTGTTAATAGTTTGTTAGGTTTTTTCGTAATACTTACCAGAAAATATTCGACCAATATTAATTTGAATTGTTTTCTACCAACGTTAACTCGAAGAATTTTTCAATCAACATCAATCAAAATGTCAGAAAAAAAAAATCTCAAAACAACAATTTTCTAAAAAAAAAAACCATGGTAGGTTGGTGTTAGCTTAAGAATCATATTTGTTGTCAACTGAAGGAAGAAGTTTAGTAAATATCAATTGAAAAATCTTAACAAATTTGGATGGAAAACAACATCTATTAACACCAACTAAATAAGATATATTTCTAAACTATTAGCAATTATTTGGTATATAAATATATATATATATATATATATATATATATTGTATTAACCGAGAAAATTGAAGTTTAATAAAATTGACTTATCACAACAATTTTTTTTTTAAAGTAAAACAGTTTGAAATTATTTTTTCAAAGGTGAGATTAGTATATGTTTCAATAAACAAAGTAAATAAAGAATATAAAAATTAAGAAAATTAGCTTAAATTTAAATCAATTAATATAAGTGCTTTTATATTAATTTATGAAAAATTTTATTTTACTTATTTTATTTAATTTTATTAGAAGTTTTTACTAACAAAATTATCAAAGTGTGTAATTATAAGAATATGTTGGCAAAATGTTTTTGGAATCTTCTCTACAAGTTAAAAAACTCTATTTTTAGTAGAAAAACCCTTAAAAGTTAAAAACACTTCTTTTTATACAAACCTCTTAATCTTTGAATAATCTTCATGTGACACCTTTGCTCATGGAGGAAGCTTCCTCACCCCTTCTTCACAATCCATTCTGCTATTTAATTCCTTTAAACTGGGATAACTTAAAAAGTACTCTTCACTTTGATAATGTAAATAAATTAATATAGCTTCATTTGTATTGTTTATGTATTAAAAAATACAAATGAATCTATTTTAATTTAGAAATTTAGAAAATTAGAAAATTTCATAATCTAATACAATTTTCATATGTATTAGATGTATAAATATAACATGAAGAATCGTGAGAGATACATTTTTCTTGATATTATTATTTATTAATCGTATTATAGTGACTTTGTAGTACTTCTTACCTTTATCTCGTTTTGAATTCACTATACTTTCATAGTAGGAAAATACATAACTAAATGCATTCTTTTAAAATACTTTGAATTTTAAATTATAAATATTCTTGGAGCTTACAAGCTTGTTGAATTTCGTTATTATATATATTTTAAAATGTTTTCTAGATTAAGTGTTTAAGTACATTTTGATTTTCAAACCTTTTAGAAATTTTAAACAAGTTTTGGAATCTACAATTATCTTAAGACTCCATTTCAGTTAACCTATTCTTTTTATTGAGTTCTTTGATTTGGCGTTGAATTAAAAAAAAAAATAATCTACCAAAATAGGAAAACCTAATCGAACAAATTTGTTTACACATCCAACCAACATTTTGATAATTTCCATACAAGTTTTTTATTTTTAAAAAAGATTAGAACAAACTAAGTGACTCATTTGAATAAATTTTTGTACAATATTAAACTTGCTTAAGAATATCTCTGAAATAAGTAGTACAAAATTTAATATTCTATTAAGAAAATTATAATAAAGTTGCTTACCATAAATCACATAATCTATTTGATCACCTTTAGTCTTCGTCTAAAATTCAATTACAAATTAACATTTATAAGAATTATATTTTATATCTACAACTATTTTATAAGCTACAATTTAATAATTTATTATTAATCAATAACAATATTTTTTTATGGTGAAAAAGGGGAAAAGTTAAAGGGATAGAATTTGATTATTGAATATGAGACAACTAATTTATTTCTTGGAAAAAAAAAGGAAATATAAATATATAAACTATTCAAATTGATCCGTAACGATAGTAGTTCCTGATTTTCGGTTAAATTAATCTTTAAATATATTTTAATAAAAAATGATTATAAAAACTGGGAATTTTTATAAATTTAAGAATGAAAGTAAATATTCCGATTTAATTAATTATTTATCCAAATTAAACCAAAAATAATTCAGTATTTTCAAATTAACTCAATCTTTTGTTCGAATGACGTGGCGTATAAAATGGGAGATTCACTCACATGCCAGTAAGCTCGTCCGTAGGCGATAACCCCTACGGTTTTCCCCTTCCAAAAGAAAACGATTTCTCAATTATATAAAAAATATCAAAACACGCAAATCAAGAACACAAAAACGCTTCTGAATTTCCGTGTTTTGATCAGAATCTGAAGAAAAACCACTTCAATTAGAATTCGAATTCTAGTTTCGAGTTGAAAAGGAAGAGAAGAAATGGAATCAGAGGATCTGGTGAAACAGGAATTGGAGGAATTGCTGAAACAATTGGGGAAGAAGCAAAGGTTTGAAGCCTCTGTTTTGGCCCTCAAATCCCTTCTCCAAAGCTCATATCCTTCAGCTTCTCCATCGCTTCGCCAATCCGTATGCTCTTCTCTATTTATGTTCCAGTTTCTCATTATAATTTTTGCTACGTTCTTCAATTTAACTTTAAGGTTTCTGGGTTTAGTTCCTTTT